GACGGCCCCGGCCGCTGCCGCGTGACCGTCGGGGACTTGTGGGTCAAGGGGACGACGTGAGCAGCAAATCCCGACTGAGAGCTGCCGGGACACTTGTTGTGCGGAGCGTAACTTTGTGTAATTTAACACATCCTCCTCATAGCTCTGCCACTGTAAAGCGCTGCCTTTCGAGGCACTACAAAGCAGAGCAGAGCGCCCGGCAGCAGCACCTCCAGAAAGGGCCTTGCTCAGCCCTGCGTGACGCTCCTGGACAGCGGCGCTGCCCAGCCGGGACCAGGGCTCCGCAGCTTCATTCGCACACAGGAATTCCCAGCTTTCTGCTGGGAAAAACGGAAAGGAGAAAGCATTGAGTTTTTCACGTGACATTCCCATCTTAGGAAGAGGCTAGAGCGTAACCTGAAGACCTGGACCCGTGTTAGAGCTCCTTACACAAAATCCATAGATGTGCATCGGGATTAGGGAACCCTTCAAATCCCAAGTTTAACGGCCGTCACTGTGTCACACAATTAACAGCTCATTAATCATTAATTAATGTTAATTATTCACACCCACTCCAGTACTACCTGCTTGACACTATTTTCCCCTTATGTGCTGGAAAGTTCACAAATAAACTTTTATTTCTAATATCTAGCAAAAATAAAGATCGCACATTCACTTTTCTGGGAATTTAAGTTTCTGGCTTTATCAAATACTTTCCATCCAGATCTAACAATTTATGGATGGTTGATAGAATACAGAAGGGAAGAAGGAGGCTACCCAGCTAAAGAATTGTTTTAACATCACAGCTGCACTTATCTTGGTAGTTTAATGTGAGTATCTCCAAGGATGGAGACCAATCTGCTTCCCCTTTACGCCTGGCCACCCGCAGGTGGGAATCTCTCTGCTGTCTAGCCGGAATTGCCTTTGCTGCTGCTTGTGCTCGTTGCCTCTCGTGCCGGCGGGCGCAGGGCTGAGCAGAGCGTCTCCATCTCCTCCGCCCACCAGGGAGCTGCAGCGGGGCCTCCCCTCGGCCCCCGCGCAGTGCTCAGCGCAGTGAGTTTGCTGTTCAGGGGAGGGAAAATACCCAGGCACAGGCTGATCCCCTCGGACTCACTCACCACGAACACAAGGCTTCGTGTTTTAACCCTCTGCAAAGAGCTTCGCCTGCAGGGCTGTGCCTTGCTCAATGCTCTGCACACAGACGGCTCGGGCAGCAAAGCTTGTCCCACACGCAGCTCCCGCTGCGGCTTCCGTGGCTCAAGCGCGGTCTTCCATATGGCACACTGTCCCCTGCACCTCCCAAAGCCAAAGCAGCTTTTTTTACACCCAGTCCTGCACATCCCTCCTGTCCACAACAAGAGGCAGCCTCACCCAGGCCGGGCTACGAAGGGAGAAAGACTCGTCCTACCTGTGGAGCAAACCAGGTATCCCAGGAGCTGTTTTACAGGACGGGGGAGGAAGCGGCACGGCGCACCGGCTCCAAACACCACATACCCACTTGACCGTGGCTGGGAACTGAACAAATTGCTGCTCGTTTTACCTCATCAAAACACCGCAGCAAAACGTTTAGGGTTCCTCTTGGTTGCTGCAGAGGAAACGAGCTGGCAGGAGCCTCAGGACACAACCCGCTGCTG